AGGCCACAAAGTACACAGAAGTGTTCCCCCTGGTGGATGGAAGCCTTCTCAATTAGTTGGGTATTATGGCTTCTTTTGGTGGCCTTAGGTTTATTCCAGTATCTTTGGCCATCAGTATCTGGAAGTAACCATATAGGGAAAGTTTGAGACGAGGGGAAGGAAAAAACTGTTAAGGCTTTTAGTGGGCCATGGAATAGATGGTGGAAGACCAGAACATTATGTCAATTGGAGAAGAAGAGGGAGAAAGAGAAAAGATTCCCACATTAAAATAGATTTTTTAAAGTACTGAAGGGCAGGTGAAATATCTGGCAGTTGGCAGCCTTGTGAGCAACTCTGCTTGTGACTTTCTTTGATCATCTGCCTGATCAACTGTTACACAGTGTTGGACCAGTTGATCTAATCTGATTCTGGTAGGCAGTAGCATGGACACCTGGACTACATGCCTTAAGTTGCTTTTTCCTGTTAAGGTTTTGCTGAATGCAGTGATACAGAAGAAAGTGCATTTTGAGAGATATGGAGTAATAAAGGCTCCAAGTAAAATCTTTCTTCCTTACACAGAACCATGATGAAGCCGCCCAGAGTGGACTTTGATCTAGATGGTCGGGGTATAACTTAAATAAATAAATAAATAAATAAATTAAACTCATGGTTATGCAACAAAATTGATTGGGTTAAGGGCAGACCAGAGAAAGTAGCTGTCCACCCAGGGTTTTGATGGGCCACACTCTTGATGGATGATCCTTGCATCCAAAGATCTGTCGGATCTAGACTTAGCTTCCAGACACCCCACCCCTGATGTGTTTTTAATTGTCCCTCATTGATTCCAGGGAAGAGGAATTGATCTCAAGCACTGGCAGGGTGGCATTTGGAGGTTGTGTGTTCATGAATCTCCTTAGTGCAGCTGCAGATCTGGCATCTTGCCTCTGCCTTGTCCCCTGGTACAGCCTATTACAGGATCTCGTGCTGGCACATCAGGGCGGTTAGAGAGTTTTACGATTGCTCTCCCCGATGCCTTGAAAAGGAGATCAGACAACTGAATAGTTGAATAGTTAAAGAAAACCTTTTTAAAGGAAACAGAGCCAATATACCTTGGGGGGAGGGGGCTGAGGCCAATCACAGGAAAATGTGAAGTGCCATTGTCTTCTGCTTTGTTTGTAGTCTCTCCCAAAGCATCTGGTTCTGGCTACTGTAAGAAACAGGTGCCTGGATGGATCAAATGAAATGAAGTCCTAGCTAAGTGTGTAACATAGGGATGTGGTGGCGCTGCGGGCTAAACCGCAGAAGCCTGTGTTGCAGGGTCAGAAGACCAAGCAGTCGTAAGATCGAATCCACATGACGGAGTGAGCTCCCGCTGCTTTGTCCCAGCTCCCGCCAACCTAGCGGTTCGAAAGCATGCAAATGCAAGTAGATCAATAGGGACCACCTTGGTGGGTAACAGCGTTCCGTGTCTAAGTCGCACTGGCCATGTGACCACGGAAGATTGTCGTCGGACAAAACGCTGGCTCTATGGCTTGGAAACGGGGATGAGCACCGCCCCCTAGAGTTGAACACGACTGGACAAAAATTGTCAAGGGGAACCTTTACCTTTACCTAAGTGTGGAACATCTGTCATAAAGTCTTACTTGATGCGAGCAAACTGTTCTTTAATGTCCTCCTCAGTGGGCCTTCGTTAATTCTTGCTGCTCTCCCTTTAACGCTTGGCAATTTTCTTCTGCCATAATCAATATATTTCGCATCACTTGACAAAAGGAAACATCGGTAGCACTGGACAACTCTGACAGAAGTATTTTAGTTTTAGGGTTTTTTTTTTTAATGCAGAGGTATGACCAGTGGTGGACAATTTCTACATATTAGACTGTCTGATCAACTGTCAAGTAGTGGATTCTCCCTGTTCCCCCCACTACCAATATTTTTCTAGTCTTATAAGCATATTTTATAATACCACTTGCTTAAAGGAATTATGCATTCGATACTATAGTGACAAAAATAGGGCATATTTCATTTTTCAGGCTATGATTTGATCTTAGGCATTTCAGTTTTGGTCACTGAAGTGTGTATAGTTATTATTTTTTTTCAAAGCATAATATCTGTTACAGTTATGGGAAAGCTTCCTGAAATGTGTAAAATATTGCCTTTTGGTACCATATGAGTCTACAATAAAATATGACACAAAAGCGCGCACAGCAATTTTGGAACATAAATGGTGATCTTTATCATAGCTGTCTATATATTTTTCTCATTTAGATGCCATTTTTATATATCTCCTGGTTTAAAATTGGGAAAAGCTGATTTTGCTGTCTGTGAAGGCTTTTTATTGGAGAATGGGTGGAGTGGAATTAGAATATCTGTGAGTCTTGCACAGAAGTAGTTTTGCTTTAATGAAAGAATTTGGGTTCTGTAAAGGTCACCACCACCCCCAATTTGCCTAGTTAAGGATCTTGCCAGATCGCTGTAAAAAGACTGCTGGGTGCAAAGGCAAGATCATTACCCAGGCAAATTGGGATGAAAGTGATTGCTTTTATTGAATTTTAGTTCTTTCATTATAGCAAAATTACTTCTGGGCAACAGTCAGGAATCCTTTTGCAGTGATCTGGGGAAATGATTTCCTCCTTCACTTTTTAAATCTGGAACTGTCATGCATTGAGCCTGTTTGCCTGCACTTTGTCTTCAACCTTAGCTCTCGTAGGGTGGCTTCACCCCATCTTTACCTTCTTCCATGCCCCTTGGGAACTGTAGACATAGCTTTGGTTCATCTCCCTTTGTCTACTGAAATTTGTTTTTTGGGGAATTTTCACTAGTGGTATACAAGTTCTTTTGCCTGCCTCTAAATGTTTCTTGTCTATTAATGAATTACGTTTATAATCCCTCTTTCACCTTTCCCTCAGTGGTAACATATGTTGCTCTCTTCTTTCATACTTCCCTCCCCCTTAAACATGGCAGAATGAAAAAAGAGTGACTGGCCGAAGAACACTTAATGACTTCAGTGGCTCAGTGGGGACTAGAATCGGTATCTCCCACATCTTAATCCAGCACTCTGATCATTATCTCATACTGATTCCATCCTGCCAGCATGTTGAGAATGTGTGTGCATGTTTAATTTCAGAAGGCCTTTGGATTTTTAAAAATGTACACCAAAATGAACAATGTAAGGTGGCCTGAAATGAAATATAGAGGAATTTCAGCTATGCCCCATTGTTGCTGCTGTTTTGAGGCTTATATTCCTATGGGTTTATATTTTCAAGATTGTAAGTTCCTTTATTGTTCACCTGCTTTATTTTTCTTATATGTCATTGTTTCTTATATCCTGCATGTCGCTTCTTTTTAGACAGACAGACATTCAAAGATAAAAGCAGCTGAGAAAAGCTACATAAGCAAACAAAAGCTCTTTCTTGACTGTTTGTTTAACTGGCCTACTCTGTGCTGCTGGCAGTATTTATGGGGTAGTTAATGAACCTCAGTAAATATAAGCATGGGGATTGGATTTACGTTTGCATCGTTCATAGCATGGTCCATAACTGATTTGTGTGTGCTGACTGGTGCAGCTTTGGGGGTCCTGTTCTTTCTCCTATTCTCTGAATCGCAACTCTTCATTCCGAAAGAAGAGTACAACAGTGTCCCTGTGGTCTCCTGTGCTTAGTCCTGGCTAACTTACAACCTTCGCTGTGATCACCAAAGACCCATTGTTTGTACCTTGCTTGTGAACTTTCTTAGTGTGATTTGGCTAGCTGTTGTTGGAAACAGAATGAGTGAGGAGTGGCAGGTCGGGGGGAGGAGAGGAGCAAGTAATACTGTGCTTACTTTTATACTCTAAGACAGTTTAAAGTATTGGATCTATTCTATTTACATTGCAGGGTGTGTTTGCCATTATTAGTAATATTATCTCTTAACAAACTATTGGATTATTGTTCCAAACAGGCAACTGTTATGCCACTTTTGGCTTTAATAAAGCACACAGTGCTGCAATGTAGATCTCAATGTTTTAAAATTGCAGGATTTAGGCTTTGGACATAATCTAGGTAAAGTAAGTTATTTTAACCTTCTGCTAGTTTTTGCTGGAAAACCAAGAACATTCCTACATCTCCTCCACTGATTTCTGTATGTGTTAAAAATCTGCCACTGAAATCACTGGCCCTTTAATTTGGTTGAGGCATTTTGTTTCTTATAGATGGTTTACTTACATATTTATTTGGAAATAAACTGTATTCAGTGATGCTTACTCTCAGAAAGGTGCAAAGGATGTTGCCTAGAGCTGGCAACAATGCAGAACAGCTATGAGAGGGAGATTTATTGTGGAAGCATCATTTGTATGTTCTGCCTTCTCCAAATTCCTGTTTCAGATTAGTGTTAAATTCTGACATTCTTCCTGGGAAACAATGCCATGTACCGCTTAGCCCCATTGCAGCTTCAAAACTGTGCCTTGTAAAAGTTAATTCATTATGAAGGCACAGCAGTATCTCCTGTCTGAGAGTCAGTCAAGATGTTTGAATTACGTATGTTCTCTGAGTTCAGCAGAATGGAAAGTATTAACAGAGCACCTTGCAAAGGTTGGATATTTGGATCCAGGCGTTACAGAGGTGGCACCAGTTTTGCTCCTTCCCATTTGTGCTACATCATACTCCACTTCAGAGCGTCCAACTGTTTAGAAGGCATAGGGCTAAAATGAGAGGGGTTACCAAAAATGCCCAGGGTTGTTTGCAGAGAACAAGCCAGCCACTTTGATCCCAGCCAATGACTTAATATGTATTTGAGATGAGTTCCTCAGAAAAGAACACAGGGGTTCTCTCTAAGTTTTTTTAAAAGGCTGTCCAAGAAAAGGATGTACTGAATGAATTTAATGAATTTCCCTTGCGCTTTTCCATGACACTAGCGTGCATTTCTGCGTTAAAAATACCTTTGCTTGCACTTGTACTAGAACTATGTGCAAAAGAGAAATATTATTATTCAACTGGTGTGAAGTTGGGAAACTTACAATAATGTCACCATTGTCTCTTCTCCTCTAGTACTGAGTCCCAAGGTCCTTGGTATAGCTATTGCCCGCTACGACTTCTGTGCAAGAGACATGCGAGAATTGTCCTTAATCAAAGGAGACGTGGTTAAAATTTATACAAAGATCAGTGCCAATGGCTGGTGGAGAGGTGAAGCAAATGGAAAGGTAGGTTCTTTTTTGAGATTGTATAATTTTTAAAAATGGTTCTTACTCTTAATGATGTTCAGAACATATTATAAAGGAAAGGTTGCAATACTGTCCCCTGCATATGGGGGGATTGCCCTTGGGCCCTTCAAGTTTGCCTGCATATGATGTATAAAAAGCCTTTTTTTGTAATGCTGCAGCATGCGAGTCTCCAGCTGAAGTAAGAGAAGCAGGTTTACTACTTAATTTGTTGGAAACTAGGTCTAAGTTCCAGCTACGAGAATGTAACATATCCCAACTTCCTGAACTGCTAAATCAAAGCATAACAGTTAGTCCTGTTGGCGATTGAATGCGTGTCTTCACAAGCTTTGGGTCATTAACATGCATATCCATTTGTTTAGAGAGAAGCTAAAATTCGACAGAAGCCCTAAAAGTTAGCTGAACACTTTCTACGCCCTTCATGATTCTTTTTGAATCATTGCCAGTTTCAACAGGGGAGTAGGGGGGCTTCAGAGAACCAAAGCAGAGCAAAAGAACATCAATATCTCATAATATTGCCTTTTTCTCCCCCTGCCCCTGCACTTCCTTCTCCTTTAGGTGGGCTGGTTTCCATCTACCTATGTAGAAGAGGATGAATGACTTGCAGATCTAGTTGCAACTTCTGATCGTAAGCTTCAGGGATGATGAAATCCAACCATCTGCAAAGCATTATTCATCTTGTTATTTGAAATGCAGCACTTCGGTCTGTTGAAACCCTTCAGTCTTAACACTGGGATTACGGAGGAAGTTTGTGTTGACAGATTAATATCTCACTCAGAGCTGTGTAAAGAAACAAGCTGTCTGTCTGCCACCACTGGGGACCAGTATGAAACTCCTAACCTCACTATCCTTAAAAAAATGAGAGAGAGAAATAACTTCAAAACAGATTTTTGAAAAAGAATGCTTCATTTCATTCCATCCACAATGAATACTAAGTACCAGTAGCTGTTTAGTAGCCTCTTTATCTCCCTCCCTCCACTTACTTTCTGTTAGCTAACATCTCTGATGGCCTGCTCTGAAGATGAAGGCTTACTTTTTGTGGCTTATCACTGCATCCAGGAGGGGAAAATTTGAGCATTCCAGTAGTCATGTGGTCAATGTTAAATACCTAGCAGCACTAATTAACCTTGCCAATGACTGCACATTCACCAAGGCTGTGATCTCTAAACACAGTTTCTGGGGATTAGGTTTCATTCAGCATACTTCTGCATGCCGTTGTGTGTTGGGGTTGGGTGGGGTTGGGTGAAGAGAAGACACAGAACAATTTATTGGAGGCTATGTTAACTGGCTTATCAAAGTCTTTTACTAAAAGGTTTTCTTGACGAGCATACTTTAAAAGGTAGAACCAAATTATGCAGAATGTAAAGTTACACGTCCCTTACAGAACAATAACCTGAAATACACACTCATCTTTTGTACCAGGTTCTAGAATATAGGAGGTGTTCTGTTTTTTGTTTTGCTCTTTTTTAAACAAAAATAGATGGAACTTTCAGCACTGTTTAATTTTGGTCCTTGGGAAGCTCCATCTAATTTTAATGACACTAACAATGCAGTATCCGATGGGTGGGATCTTTATACTCCAGCCTTCAGTTTTGTCAGGCAAAGCAGAGTTACAGAACTTTGTGTCTGAGTGATTATTTCTGCAGTCCCTAGATTTTGTAAAGATTGTGAATCGTAATGACACTCATAAATCAGATTATTAATGTTCTCAAAAGCATAGCAATCACAAGCACAGCCTTTGGTAGGCATAGTGGGATTTGGAGGAGCCAAATTCTACTCAAATGCAGGAGGAGGAGAGGAGGAGCTGCCCCTAAATGTTGGAGAAAGCTTTCATTTTGGCATCTCAAGTGTGAAAAAATTGCTATTGGAAGTTAAAAAAAAATTAAGAAATTCTTATCAAGTCTGCTTTGGAAAAATGGCTGTGTGGGTCGAGGACCAAATAAGTTCAAAAATTCTCTGATATTCTCAGGAAGTTTTACTTTAGTGGAAAGGATACCCTTTGTTTTCATTGCAAATCTTCACTCTTAACCCCCCCATGGATCTGTGTTCAATGACACACATTTGTTAAGTGTGCTGAGCAAATCCAGATTGGTTAGAGAAACGTGTGTGAACACACACCATTTTGACCATCTCATCCTCTTTGCCATTCTTAATACATGCATCCCATTAACACAATGGTTCCCAACCTTCAGTCCCCAGATGTTCTTGGACTGCAACTCCCAGAAATCCTGGCCAGCATAGCTAATGGTGAAGGCTTCTGGGAGTTTTAGTCCAGGAACATCAGAGGACCCAAGGCTGGGACCCACTGCTCTAATAGAATGCTTATTCAGGTATCCATTGTTTCCTTGTTTGCTAAGGCCTTAGTAAACCATCTGCCTTAGCCCAGGAGCTTGCCATCAAGCAAAGATGAACCGGGGATCTTCATGTGTGTCCCTGCTTGAACTGCTATGAAGCTCTGTGGAGTTCTAAAACTGCAGTTTAACATCCCTAGATATATACCTGTAGTTTAGTGAAGTTCAAAATGATGTAAAATTTGAATTTATTAAATACATTATTTTGATGTAACTAGTTACAAGCATTGGTAAATGATTCCAGAAATGTATTTAATAAAGTAACTTGTCTTTAAACATTAGCCTAGAAAAACGTCCTTGGTGCTACCCCACCTTTCCCCACAAGGAGTAGTTTCATCTGGTGGACTTGGAGTGGGCAAAACTGCTTTACTACAAGCTATTGCCTGTTTTTAATGGAGTAGAGTTTTTGTCTCTAGGTCTGTGAAATGTCCTGTCCTGTTTTCATCAGTGTTTATAAATAAGGGGAGAATTGACTTAAAATAAAGACAAAGAAATGTGTCCTTCCAGCAAAACATGTTGATCAACAGTTAAGATATCCTGCTGTTTGCTAATGTTTGCAGCTGAGAGGCTAGTTGCAAGTCAGAATTGACTTAGGCATATGAGCATTGTTATTTGGTCAGGGTGGGCAATAAATAACGTAAAGAGCTCAAGCTGTATCTAAACATCTCTCTTCTCTTGGTGTTCATTTATTTCAACCGAGCAGTTCATTGGACACAGGGAGTTCCAGGTTGCATAAGTGCTCCTGCAGTAATCTGAGTGAAAGGGAGACAGGTAGCTTAGCATGTGCAACTTCAGTTGCCAGTTTGCATCATGGAGAGCATCTGTTTCTCTAAGACCCTTTGCTTGAGCTACTTGTCTCTCTGCATCCTTTCCTTCCATACTTTAGAACAAGAATTAACACACTCCATAATGATCAGGAGGTGAACGGGAGAGCAGGCCAAAGCCACAGCATCTTACAAGGCAGCTGCCGTGTCAAGAAGCAGACAGGGTATCTGGAATGTGACTTGGTAGTCTGGCATTAATCCTTTTCCACAGATGGATCTTTCACCAGGGAAGGGGGTGGAAACCCTGCATCCGCATCAGCACCACATATGTACACAGAAATCTACATCCGGATTGTATGGTGTGTTATCTTTATTTAATGCCCTGTATTAAATATGTTAGATGCTTCATTGTGTTATATTTCATATACCAAAGACTGATGATGTCAAAGCCATTGCTTCTTATCTTGTTTTCATCTTGCTGCAGTACACTTTCCCCAATCTTGCTCTCTCATGCAATGAGTTGGGGTAGTGCTTTAATTTGTAATATTGTGTAATATTGTGTAAATATGTGAATATATTAATAAATGGGTTAATTTCTTGTTTAGTGAATCACAGTTTATGACCAGTGTTAAGAAGGTTTGCTTTGTCATTTTTTGAAAGGACTCAGCTCATTCCTAACACACACACCCTTTCCACACCACATTTCAATCTTAAATCCAGTTTTTGTGCATATTTCGCATTGTAAAACCAAGTATATTTATGTGTGGGGTCACATCTTTCCCACAAAAGTTGAACTGAAGCCATTGGCTCCAGTTTCATGAGCTGGGAAGCTGAACTCTCAAAATTTGACACCTACCCCATGCCCCAGTTGGTTGAGCTGATAGAGAAGTTGGGGAGGGACACTTACCTTTCCGCCCTCGATCTCACCAAGGGATATTGGCAGATACCCTCTGGGATGTGGACAAAAAAGACAGCTTTCACCACCCCAATAGGGCTATACCAGTTCATGTACATGCCCTTTAGTTTACACAGGGCAGCGGCCACCTTCCAGCAACTAATGGATCGGGTGTTAATCCCAGCGCAAGACTTTGCGGCCACATACATAGATGATATCATTACAGTGATGCCTTGCACGACCAAAATAATTCGTTCCACGAGTCCTGGGCCTCATGGGGTACTACAGGCGATTCATAGCCCATTTTCCAGATATTGCTGCTCCCCTAACGGACCTGACCCGCAAAAGAGCCCCTAAGCTGGTCTAATGGCGAATCCGGGAGCAGTGGGCTTTTGAAGAATTAAAACAGAGACTGTGCAGCTCCTATCTGGCAGGCCCCTGATTTCTCTCAACCTTTCATTTTACGGATGCCTTGTAAAAAGGGCTTGGGGCTATTTTGGCCCAGCATTATGAGGATGGGGAGTACCCTGTTCTATTAGCCAGAAATTATCACCCCGGGAGCAGAAGTATGTTGCAATTGAGCGAGAGGCTCTGGCCATCAAGTGGGCTGCAGAGTCTCTACAATATTACTTATTAGGAGCACCCTTCTTATTAGTCACTGACCACATACCCCTATAGTGGCTCCAATGAATGAAGGAGATGGGAAGGAGGTACTGGACATTTGGGAGGACACCTGGGAGTTTTCATCACCTTTTGAGAAGAGAGAAAATAGTCTGCCGGGGGAGACGCTGAAAGGAGCTTCTAAGAGGCCTACATCTCTGGAGGACGGCTGGCTTATCTGAAGGCAAGTTGAAAGCTGAAAGATAGAAGCTCCCAGGGTCAGCCGGTGCTGCACAGCCTCCTCTGCTTGCTGGATGCAGTGCTGGGGGACTCAGCTGGCAAAGACTGTTCAACAGTCTGGACCTTTCAGTCAAGATGAGCTGCCACGGGAGTGAAGCAACTCCCTCGGAACTGGGGGCTGGTACAGAATATTCTCTCAGCCCTGGAAGGACTGGAAGGAGAGAAAGCTACCAGTTCCATCCCTACTGCTTGGGGCTAGAGGCCCCATCCTGCAAAGGACTACAGTTTTTCTTTTCTTTGTACAGGTACGCTGAAGCTTAACTGATCACCAGTACCTGCTGCTTCATCATGGATACAGCGGCTGGGGCCACTCACAATACTAAAACACATTTAAAACAACAGAGCACAACAATCTATTTAAAAACTCCAGACAAACGAATGAATGATACCTTCCAGTGCAGTAGGACTGCCCTGGAAGACAGGGAGATTTCTTATCTGCTTTAGGTCATGGTAGCTGGCTGGATATCTCAGTGGTTTAGGTATCTGGTTGGGTAGCTAGAGGTTGGGAGTTCAATCCTCCACTGTGCCTCCTGCGAGTAGAGCCTGCCTGTGTGGCCTTAGACAAGCAGCTCTGTCCCAGTTCCCCCCACCCCCACCCCTTTGAAGAAGTCAGAATTGACTTAGGCATATGAGCATTGTTATTTGGTCAGGGTGGGCAAATTTCTGTGGTTCGGGCTGGAGAGGCAATTGCTGAGTCCACTAGAGTTTTCAAGCAGCAATTCCCTTGTAACATTAATAGAGCAAACAGGCATGTTTTTCTTAAAGCTTAAGAACAGGGCCAGCAGCAATAGTAGTTGCACACATGTGTTTATTTGATCTTTATACCGCCTTGCTCCCCAAAAAACTGGCCCTTAAGACAGCTAATAATAAAGTCAGGTAAAACAAATGCATTCAAAATAGAAAACAAATTAACAAAAACATAAAACAGATTTAAAGCAAAATTAATCACAAATACCAGTAAAAGGAAGAACAATGCTCTCCTAACATAGCATCTTTTGCAGCTTCATTGTTAAAGGTCAGCCTGAAGAAAACGTTTCTGCCTGCCAGCAGAAAGACAAAGGGGAAGTGGTCAGCCTATCCTCCCTAAGTGGGTGCATCTAGGTCAGTGGTTTTCAAAATGTGTTCTGGAGAATCCAAGGCTTCCATCAGAAGCTAATAAGGAAGTTGTTCCATGAAAAAAAGCCAGGTCAACCATGGCAAACAGGCATCTCAAAAGTTTACCCACCAGTTGGCTGCTTCTGCAACAAGATGGTGTGAGAGTGTGTTTGGTTTGTTCAGGGACAGCAGACCTTGTCTAGCCAAGCCCTCTTCCCACTCCCCCCTCAGCCCCTGTGAACAGAGTCTGCACCACTAGAAAATGTAACCCAGGATCTTCTGCAAATTGTGTGCTGCAGGAGAGTGAATATTGACAGGAATTCTTTGAAAGCAAAACATTCTCAAAGTGCTCATTTTTTAACCATCACAGTTAAACGTTTCTTACACTGCTGCTAATACCTTAGTCGTATTTCTCATTCATTAATGCCTTAATTTGCCACATCAATAAGTTTCTAAGGATGATACCATGAAATACATATCTTTCTTCTGATCCCTCATTTATACACAGCCTCATTTTTTTCAACAGAAGCATGAATTCCTGGTGAAGGGCTCTGGTCCAAAAACATCTTCTTACCTGTGAGGCATTCTGAGAGCATTAAAATACTTCCCTTTATGTTCTTCAGTACACACTCTTCCCCTCATCCCACCCCAAACTGCCCCCCCTTTTTATTAAAGCAGAAATTGCATATATTCATATTCAAGCAAAACTGACATTGAACAACCTGGGCTTATTTCATTATTAGATTAGATCACTGAGAACATATTGGGTATTGCTAGTCTACGTATACTATTCATGTGAAAGAATTTAATGCAAACATCTTTTTTTAGATCTGGAATCTTTGTGGTTAGATAAGTCTTTCTGAGCCTGGCAAAAAACTCTGAATGTGAAGGATGAAACATAATTCCTCTACTTGAAGGGTTGGTTGGTTTGCCTTGACACTTGTTTTGCCAACAGATGTCATGGAGTGGATCTTGTGAGTCCCTCTATAAAGATACATAGAAGTGATCAGAAGGAGGTCAGGTTCTTATATGCTTCCTTATTACCCAGTTTGTCATTTGGTGATGTGCAAATAATGGATCATCTAACCAGTGAAAAGCACTGAGAACCAAAACTGTGTAGAACGGATTGTTTGATCTCTTCCAGGAATGTTGATGCAAATAGCTACATCTCATTGCTCGTGTGTTGAGTAGTCAATGACACTCAGCTCTATGCATGAACTTAATGCATGAGCTGACTCAGCTGAAATACACTGCATTTGTTGCCTAGGGTTTATTCACTCACAGGAATCACTGTCTTGATGCTGCAGTTGTCAAATACTTGAACCAACCTCAATTTAATAGTATTATTGAGGACAACATGGGGTGACCCAGTGGGTGCTACTCTGAGATCCCTTGATAACAGTCACAATGTAACTGTGGTAAGAAATCAATAGATTTAGGCCATTCAAAAGGATATAGAGTGATCAGAGGGCATTCTAGGGACAGTGACCTAAGTGTGTACTTCATGCAGTAGTCATGATCACAGCAGGCATTTGGAAGCAGCACATAAAAGAATTCCCCCAGCAATAAACCTACTACTTTTGTAATGATCTTCTGGAAAGCCATATGAGATATATGCATAAGTGTCTCATTTAATAATCTTGGCTCTCAATTATGCATATATGTTTTCACTGAAGTCTTATCTTTATATTTAAACAATTCTTTACGTATAAATAAAAATTATCTATGGGTAGAAGCCAACCATTCTGCTCACATTTCTCATATATTTCATATTACATATGATGTTAACTTAAGGGTGATTTCTAATAACGACTTAAATGACATTTGCCTGCATGGCTTTGGCATGGCAACACATACCTTTGTCAGACTGTCAGGATTTGCACAGTTTGGGCTGTTGAAAAATCAGTGAAGTC